AATAAATATAATAAGTTAACTATAATATAAAATATAATACATATTGAATCATTTGTTTAATATGATTTTATAAGATAAGTTATATTTATAAAATCTCGCAAAATAATTTATCTGTTCGAATAGTTTTTTATGACTCTTCTTCAGGTAAAAGTTGACTTTTCCATGTGTCAAATTTTTATTGGTTCTCATGGGTTGTCTCCTCATTTCCTAGTATCAATATCGATACGCCACTAGAAATATATTTAAGATAATAATTAGAATGTCACAAAGAAAAAAGAAAAGAAATCTCTGTGTGCTGTATAAAATATGTTTTTGTTATAGATATTGTAATTTAATTGTAGATATTCATAATCTTTTCAAGAGTTGCTTTTTAGCATTTTTCATTTAAAGTTAGATTTTTAGCATTTTTTTGATTAAAGTTAGATAATCTACAATATAAATGAATTCTTGAAAGTTTCCCATGATTAATACATATAATACCCAAATGTTATATATTCTATCATTAGTTGATTTATTATCTGTAACTCTTGTTATAGAAATTTAAGGACTCCATACCTCCAAACAGCAGGCATAGGCCAAATGATTATATACTTGACGAAGTGAATAAGATTCTTCTCATTTTCTCCCTATTTCTTTCTCTTATCTTTATGTCCATCATTTCAATTTCTTATATTTTTTTTCATTTTTATAACACATTATCAGCATGACACTACTAAATTAGTTCCTGGCATAAATTCAAAGAATTTCATATTGATGTTTGTTGATTTTTGTTCATGGCATAGAGATGGTTTGTTTAGGTGGAGTGATAAAAATTCACAAATTTATTTATAATGAATTATGACCTTGCAATTTTAAAGAATATATGAATTTTACTTATTCATGACTTGTTAGATATTCATACTGAGCCTTATCGTGTTCTTACTTTGTACCCTTCTTATATTTCATATTTAATTTTTTAAAAGTTTAAGTTTTTTTTCTCATAGATGTGTAATATCATTTTAATATTTATTAATATTTTAAATTTATGTTATCTGAATGGCCAATAACCATATTATTTTTTATCTTGTAATTAGTAGCCAAAAGCTATATCACTTTTGATAATGATATTTTCTAAATATTATTAAAAATTATTGCTACAAATAATATATTCCTAAATGCTAATGATTCAAGTATTTCATGACATATAAAGCTTTGATACCATTGAAAATTATGTTTGCTATAGTCTTAAAGACTAATAACTTATAAAGAGTCATGTTACTGAAAGTAATAGTCTTGAATACTAATTAATATTTCAATTATCTGATTGGTTTCAAATATTAAAGCCTTGAAGGCTATTGGTTCAAGTATCAAATGGCACAAACGAGGTTATAGTTTTGAGAAATTTTTGCATGGTCCTGAAGACTAATATATTGAGAAGTTGAGGATGCATTATTGAAAGCATGAGATATGCTTATAGAGTGATAATGACCATGATCACATTGCATGAAAAAATTGACAATTGAAAGATCATAATATTTTGTCATGGCTATTGAAAAAAATATATCATGCAATAATTGTTGAAATAATAATATCGCTTTGATGATTAAAAAAGTTATCATGTTATAATTCGTAGAAGCCATCTATACCTGTCAACTCATTGAAAGTAAATGTTGAAATTGGTTATGAAGCCCAAGAAAAAATCATGAGATATTATTAAAAAAGCTTGAGAGACTATATGCTTCGAAGGCTATATGTTGTTTAATTTTTATTGGTGTTTAAATTTCTTGTGGTCAATTTGTGACAGAGAAATTATTATAAACATTTGATATTATGATATTAATAAGTATTCAAAGAGTGATGTGAAATCAAATAAATCAAAAATTCACTGTTGGTCATAAATTGAGATGTTAATATATTTTGCAAATTTATTTGCTAATATAAACTATGAAATGTGAATATTATTTGCACAAGTTTTAGACATTAATAATTATATATATAGGAATTAAATTCATTTTGTGTGTCTCTTAAGGCAAAGAAAAATATAAATTTATATTTTTAGTTTTACACAAGAGAAAGTTATTAGAAATGATTAATATTAATTTTGACAATCATTTTTGTAATATGACCAAAATATACATGTATATAGAAAGCAAAATTCATGAATGTTTAAATAGTTGGGATGATTTGAAAGAACGTTATAAATCTCATATTTATTATTATTCCATATGATAATATTAATTATCTATATGTTAAATCTTATTTTTTGAAATAATAAATTTGCCTTGATGATTTTGTCTTCACATTCTTCTGTAATTTTCTTCATTTTATTTTAACCCCTAAACATCTTAAATCATTATACTTTGGTCTTTATATATTTTGATTTTAGATCTTATGTCTTTAGGTAAAAGAAGTAATATTTTTCCTCATATGAAGAGATCTTTGAAAATATGAGGTAAATGTTTTTAATATTTTATATCCCATGCTTAAAATATGCATAAAAACAAGCTAATTGAAGTATGTTATTAATCAACAATGAAAATATGTGTTATGCATTTAAGCAATTAATACATGAAAGTTCTTGAAAAACTATATATAGTTTCAGAAGAACTAATATGAGTTTTTACTTAAGGTCAGAAAAAAATTTGATAATGAAAATTGTAACCAATAAATCCATATCAGTCATCAGAGCTCTAGTTTTTGCGAAGGGCCTGAAGGTAATAGCTAGGGGTATTCAAATTATATCCATCCCAATTAGCCGAATATTGTCTCTATCATATCAAGACGGCTCTTGCCTCTGCCTGAAAACAATTGGGATGAGATTTTGCGAGACGAGATGGGACAAGAATAGGTTTAGAGATGGGACGGGATACAAGATTACCATTGAAACATCCTGTCCCATCTTGAATATTATATATATATATATATATTTAAAAACATATATTAAATATATTAATTATATTAATATAATGTATACTTATATTAATTATATCAATTATAATTTCAATACTTGAAATTCTTCTATAAAACTAAAATTTTTTATATTAATAATTTTAATGATATAGAGACAACTATGCAATATCTTTCTTTATATTATTACAATTTATTTTTATATCTATAAATTTAATAACTTTTTTTATATCGCATTTCTTGCTTTATTTTCGAAAGAGTAATTAGCTTTGCATATTTTAACTAAAGTAGAGGAACAATGAATTGATGTTGTATTTGATTTGCCTATTGTTGTTGCTCTCGTAGCTTAGAAATTGCTTGTAATTGTTATCATAATGTGTAATTGGGATTAACATAATTCAATAATTAATTTTAAATTATTGTGATTTATATACTTGTATTGTTTTGATTTTAAATTTAATAACTTATATTATTTAAAATTTTAATAAATATTATTATTTAGATCTTTTTCCAACATTATCTGATTTATCCTGTTGTCCTGATTCCTACCAGGATAGGATGACTTTAGGAACAAAACGAGACATGAGATAAAAATTCAATCTCAATCTTTTTTTTTGGATGGGATACAGGACAAGGGTGTTTCAGTCCTGTCTCGTCTCGTGAACATGTTACTATAACCTAGAATTTTAGTGATCTTAACAGATATATTGTTAGCATACTTTATTTGGTCATTTTGGATCATTTATATGATATAAAGAATTATTAAGAATATATATTAATATCCATTGAAGAACTAGAAGATTTTTTTACCAATAACCAACATATATATTATGCAATTAGATAATTAGTATAAGGTGCTTGTTCTCAAATAGTTCATTATGAGAATATCACTACTTCTAATTTGAATATTCACATTTCTAGAAATACATCAAATTATATATACGGCCATTCAAATAGCATGAGAACTATACAAGTATTTGATAAATTTGGTAGATGTATTTATAAGATGGTTACATATATGATTATTTTTAATTTGCAACCTTATTTAAATAAAACATTATAGTGAGTGCAAAATTTCCAAAGTATGTGATTTAAACCATTTTTGTTGAAAATTCTAGTGAATTTTATATCATGGCTTTGCAATATTGTACTTATGAGGAAAATAGTTGAAAAGCCTATTTCATAGAATGATCTTAGAGCTACACAAAGGAATGGATAAGACTAGACTCTGTCCTAATCTGAAGTCTAATCTCTTTTATGAAAAGGATTGGATTAGGTGTAAAGTCCCAACTCAAACCGGACCTTACCATTTTAAATCACACAATCAATAAATTAAAATTAGAGTAATAGCCCTTTTATTTGTTTTCAAATCACAGGATCCTGACTTCTTAAAATATAATTCAAATAAGAGGACTAACAAAAGAGCAAACATAGTTAAACGACTCAATAAGACACAACTTTTCAACCTTGAAAAAGGGCCATGCATTGTAACGTGTACCACATACACCACGGCATGTGGTAAAGAGCGACATGCTCTATTTTTGTCTGTATCATGCACCATAGTGGGTGCATTGTGTGCCGTGACGCATATGATAACTCAAAAGATGAAATTTTGCCATGTGCCATTTCTACGTCCAACATTTAATTGAAGTGATTCAAGCGCCCACACGAAACTTACAACATGTACTAACTAACGGAATAAGTTTGGAATCAATTTGACGGTTCGATCTAAAATTAGACATCTGGGTGTAAAAAATCACTTTTTTCTTTCAAAACTTTCATCCTAAGAGCTCAATTATCATTTCTTATCCCATTATACAACTTTGGGCCTTGAACCAAGTCTGAAAAGACTATATATACCTGATTGACACTACTAATCACATATACCATATCAATTGCCCATTTTAACCTCTCAATACCATATTACACAATTGTAAACTTATATGAGAAATACACATACAACACACATTCACATATATATAACTAGACTTGTTCTACTTTCAACCCTTTGACTCTTACATATGAGGCTTCGCTTCACCATATAGTCAGGAATCACAACATACTTGATTCTTTCAAATGGGGCCCTACCTCACCATTTGTGTTAAGTTCTCATATAGCAACGCAACTCATAATCAATACATAATCATCACATTAGTTCAAATATATACAAGTGGAACAAGTTACATAACAAAACAGACTTGCTTGAATAGCATCTAGGCCTACCCATGTACCCTTCACTAGGGCACTCTCGGTGAGATGCACATCATATGTATATATACAAGCAAGATTCACGACGCAATTCATATACACATTCACTTATATATTCTAGTTGGAAACTCTACTATCACAACTCATTATACATTCATTTATATGAATGGTAGTCATACCATTATCAAGTGAGGCTACTCTTTCTTCGATTTCTTTCCTAGCCTTCTTATGCTCTCTTCACCTGTGTTCAAAAGTAACGAAGTGAGACATATGCCTTAGTAACTCAGAGGTAACCCTAATTACTAGTTAGTAAGTAAAATCATAAACAAGCAATAAAGTAGCACGTGTTTCAATCAAAACAATATCATTTGCATATATGAAAACTCATTCTCATCAAACTCATTTTGCTCATGCAATGCATTCCTGGTTCCACCTAGTGAAATAATCTATATGCTCGAACTAAGACTTCCAGTCACATGAAATAGGGCCTACTTCCAGTCTCCTAAGTCAGTTATAACAAAGTTAAACTCTATGTTCTGGATCATCAAAACTTTTTAGCCTTATATAGAGTAGGACCATAACCCCTTACCCTAGTTTAGGACAGCCTCATAGCTCATTCCATATCCTAAGTCTGTTATGGCGAAGTCAAGTTCTATGCTCTGAATTATCAAGATTCTTCTCTTAGGTCCATCTTGGTAGAGTCAAGCTTTATACTCCAGATTATCATGACTTGCTGGACCTCCTTACAGTAAGATCACATCCCCCCACCGTAATCCAGGGTATTCTCACGAATGCGATGCATGTCAATGCATATGCAACCCTAAATTCATTTTAATCAATACTCACACACCCGCATGCATATACTTTCACAATACTACTACTCTATCAGTTTACAACACAATGCACGTAATTATATCAAAATACTTGCAAATAATTTCATAAACAAATAAGTAAAAGGGTTACTTCAATTATCTTTAACCCTTGCTACTAAAGGTTATCAATCACTTTAAGCTCTCAGGGGCATAGATTCTCACAAAAAATGCTACAGGTGTTCAATCTACACAATACAATGCCCCTCAGTCAATTCTCAACCTTTCACACAAACATTGATTCGGCTCAATCGAATCCCTTAACACGTAAAATAATTCAAATAAACCCTTTTGAATTTACTTATCCATTATTTATAATCACTAGTACTATAGGCTACTTAAACAACCATAATAATCTCCTAACACTTATTCAACCAAAATCTTGCCAATTAACCTAACTTTTATGCTATCTTGAGCCTAAGTTTTCAAAGCTTAACCATTCAACTTCATATTAGTCAAAAACCTTTAGTACTATATTCGATAGCCCATTTTAAACTGTTCTTTTAGATTATAATACCGTAGAACTTCATGATTCATTTTCTCAATCAATGAAATTCAACAAAAATGGGGTAGAAATGAAGATTGAGATTGTGCGATACTTACCTAACAAATTACTAATCGAAGCAGATTCCCAATAGTTAGATAAGGCTTGCCCTAGTAGAGATGTACTCCTCTTCCCTTTTAGATGCATTTCCAACAGTTTATCTTTTAATTTCACAAGTTGATCATATCAGCTTTAAATAATCCCTAGACAATACGCTGTGATGCACATAGCTTCCACCGCGGTGTGTGGCACAGTGAGTCCAATCTCATTTGTGCTTGTGCGTTATGCCTTAGATTGTCGTTCCATCCTTCAATCATATCAATACAATATCCAAACAATGCAAAACATTAGCTCAACACCCAAACCACAATCAATCTACTAATTACTAATTTATCTTTGATTAGCAACTAGTTCTTGGTATTTAAATTTAGGATGTTATATTAGGAAATTCATACTTTGATCTAGTCCAATTGTAACTCGAAGATTAATAAGATCAAACTTGATCCATAAGACTGTAAGACTGGCCCCAATAGTCTAGTACTCATTTAACTTTTTTCTTTTTCTCTCTATGAGAGACAACAATTTATTTCACCTCGATAAACTCAATTAAAATAATAAAAATAAAAATACTTATAATCATAAAAAATCCATAACAATTTCCTATAACAAAAAAAATTTAATTACAATTCAAATGATCTAAATTCATAACTTTGACAATAACAACATTCAACAAACTTAAGCAACATGTCTAATATACATTATAACAACAATTTAGTGGCAAACTAAACTAAAATTATCTTAAATAGAAAGACAAAATGTAAATGGAGGAAACATTGTGTTCAAATATATTGGAGATAATTAAAATTATATTAAAATAATTTCATAAGACTGAATCAAGTGACCTGAGAGCTTAGTCTCTTATCTAGTCTAACTTGAGAAAGTAGTCTTGTCTTTTTGTCTCTCTGGTACTTCAGATCAATTTTTTTATTGGACTAGACCAAATTGGGTTTATTTGAGTGGATTAAGTTAGATAGGATAACTAAACTTTTGCACAATGCTAAATGATATAGTAAAACTATTTATTAAAGCCTCTATAAAAAGTTATATCAATACTTATGAGAACAAAATTTTTATTTCAGTGTTGGCATATTTGATCTTATGTATTGTAGCACTTAAACATTTTAAGCCAATAGAATTCTCCCATAAAATTAGCTTTTGGTCAAGAGTCAAATATTTTTCAAATTTGAATGTGTAATAATTATTCTTATTATTATTCCACCACACTAGATGGATATTTAAAGAAAGGTGGGAATAAATGTTGGACGAAAAAACTCCTCCTCCTTGTTTGTTTCAAAATGAAACAAATGAATGTTTCCTAAAGGAAACAAATTAAATTGGGAGATTTATTTTAGAGTTAAGGTGCAATTTTACCTCTAAACTATTCTTAAAGAAGCAATATTTTTCCTAAATTATTTATCATATCAATGTTTCCTCTAAACTAATTAAATCAAAGTAATGTTGCCCCTACTATTTAAATGTCCATTAACTGTAACTAATGAGATCCACTTTTTATGAGTTAAGGTGCAATTTTATTTCTAGACTATTTTGAAAGAGCAATATCCCCCTTAAATTAATTAGATTGGATTAATATTGCCCTTCTGTTTAAAAATTATAAATGTCCATTAAATAAAGATAGATAATGAAAAGTACTTTTGTACTAGTGCTGTTCCATCCACATCTTTTTTAACATCTAATACTCATGTAAAAGCATTTATCTCTATCATGATTTTCTTCACCAACATTCCAACGAGTCATGAGTTATATATTGAAAAGAAGTTCGATTTTTTCTACTAATTTTTTTCAATAACAAATATGACAATAGTTGAAGTATAAATTCACACTAACAGCACTAAAAGAGAAGCTCTTGATCCAATCAAGAACATATAAACAATATTATGTGGTCAAAAAGTCACTTCTTATCATTTTGAGTGGATCAGCATACAAAATTGACAACCATAAACAAATACTCTCTCATATGTTTTATAAACAAAAAATCCTATACATAGATCATTATAAAGTGGTTACTCAAAAATTAATTTAGCAACTAGAACGTCATAGTTAGTTGAAATCCTAACTTTACTCAATGTTAACTAGAGAGAGATAATAAAAAAGTGAGTCCTATTAGCTACAGTTAATACATTTATGATTTTGTAAACTATGAGAGCAACATTGCTCTTTTAAGAATATTTTAGGGACAAAATTATACCTTAACCCCATGAAAAGTGAGCTACTAGTTATAGTTAACAGATGCATAAATGGCTGGGGCAACATTACTCCATTAGTTTAGGGACAACACTACTATGATGAGTAGTTTTGGGGGCAAACATTGCTCCTCTAAAAATAGTTCAGAGGCAAAATTAATTAGCCTTTTTATGTTATATGATGAGTTAATCATCATTGACCATATTTTATCAACTTAAGGGGGAGAAAAGACTAGCTAGAAAATAAAATATATGAAATGCATTATCATTATCTTATTTATATTCTCTCAAATAGCAATGTGAACTAGAAGTTTATTAAATGCATTCATAAAATATTGCAAAATTACCTGTCAAATGTAATTACTGACCAAAATGAGAATTATTAAATATTGTATTCCAACTAAAGTGCTCAAATGATTATAAAAAGGAAATGAGACATGCTTGAGGCATGAAAAGTTACTCAGTTCCAAATATAAATGTCACACTTCGGCACTCTAAACGTATGACTGGCACAGAATCTGAGATAAATTCACATTCCATAAACCTTAATTATTGAAATTAAGCTAAAATATCAATGACTAATTTATATATATAATTGTAAGGTTCAAAAAAAATCTTACATATTCTGTAAAAATTTTAGCAGATTTCTCCTTGTAATTCGAACCTCCCAAAATTTTTTACCATAAACAAAATCTATCAGCCAATACAGTAAAGGCGCTTAGCTCCATACTAGCAGATAATAAATCATCAAAACCCAAAAGGATTTGACTATGGTATGCATGGAGCACTAGATTATAATTACATCAAAATAACTAGAACATGCTTCCATTGTCCAAAATGTAATCTGCTCTTCAACGATCAACAGACAAGGTCATCGACAACATTTGAGACCAAAGAATTTTTCGATGAGTAGCATTCCAATCGAGATTATATAAATTATAATTAATTAAAAATAAATTGTGACAGGTCGGGGAGTAACTAATAAACTTAGTTTAAATAAAACAATTAATAAGTGAACTTACTTTAACAAACAATGAATAATGAGTTTGCTCAATAATATAACAATGCAACCAACAACATCAAAAAAACCAAATAAATTTATCAAAATTTTTCTATTACTATATATATAAGATTTCAAATAATGCTGCAATTAAAAAAATCCTTTAAAGAAAACAAATATAAAATGATAAGTTTTAAATCTAATATAGGAAAGCTTTATTAAAATGAATAATAAGGATGGACACACAGTCCACGAGGGCTTATATCACTTTAATTATTATTTATCAATAGCATAAAGTATAGAAAATCAAGATCTCATCATTAAGAAAATAATTATTATAGAAGAGAATTGACAAGAATGTTTAATAACAAATAAAGAAATAGTATTAAAATTAAGTAAAGAAAATTTGTAAACAATTATTAGAAATTCATTCGAAATGCTACCCATTCATTTGAAAGTTTGCAAAAGTTCTAAAAATTTGCTTCTCTTACTTTACACTTTTATTCTAATGAAGTCCTTAATGTTTTGACAAATAAATTAAAATTTAAAATTATTTATCAATAATTTTTCAAGCCACTTAATGGGCAGTCGACCATATTAAAGATAATATTCTAACTAATTATGTTCCAGGTATATTTGGATTAGTTAAACTTTGGACAATTTCCAATTCATTCTCATAACTCTTTGTAACTTACTCTCACAAATAAGTCACACAATATCTCATATCAACCATTTCTCTTGCTTCCTTTAGATTTAATAACATATTTTGATATTTTTAAAATTTCAAAACTTACATATACTCCTTTGAGTAATATTCATAATTCATCTAAGCTCTAAATAACAACAATTTAACAATCTCATTTCCATCAATAAATTTTTCAAGGACATTTACAAGCATTATGAGAACATTTACCATTAAATCATGAGACAAACATTCGAGCAAATTCAATCATTTCAACATTTAATTTCTTCATCAAGTTTTAACTCAACATTAATAAAATAGAATCAATGTTATCGAAAATAGCTTTTAATTTCCATTCAATTATTTTCACAACATCTTGAGACATCCAACTTTAACTAACAATAATCATCTAGTCATTTAATTAACTTTCCACGTAAACGTTACCAACATTAAGCATAGTATCACAATAAAATTCCACAACATTAACCAATTCGGCTCCTTAATTCGCAAGCAAGTCACGGCAGCAACAAAAAAAGTAGAGG